CGCCAATCTTCGGGAACGAATACACTGCGATGAATTATGTAAGCGAAGTGTTACAAACACTAAATGCGGTGGAAATTGCGAAGGAAACGAAACGTGATAAAGTGTTGAATAAAATTGTAAGATATGCGATTGATCAATGGCCAAAAGTGAACGAGTTAAGCGAGTATGAGCAAAAGTTTCATGCTAAACGTGAAGAGTTGTTCGTGGAAAAAGGATGCCTTTTCTGGGGATATAGAATCGTAATCCCAGAATCAGTGAAAAGTTTAGTGTTGCGAGAATTACACGCGTCTCACTTTGGAACTGTAAGAATGAAAATGATAGCGAGGTCATACGTCTGGTGGCCAGGTATCGATGGCGAAATTGAGCAAATTACAGCATCTTGCTTAGCGTGCGGACAAGAACAGAAAAAGCCATCGAGTGTACCATTAACACCATGGCCATGGCCAGACAAGTTTTGGAGTAGGATTCACAGCGACTTTCTTGGTCCATTCCACGGTCATATGTTTATGATCGTTATCGACGCTCATGCGAAATGGTCAGAAGTTATCGATATGCGAAAATGTACGACGTCGACAGAAGTAATTAAAGTATTTCGAAAATTGTTTGCTCGATTTGGATTACCGCGTCATCTGGTGACGGATAACGGTCGTCAGTACTCTAGCCTTGAGTTCAAAGAGTTCACTAAATGTAATGGAATAAAACATAGCTTTTCAGCACCTCATCATCCGGCGACGAATGGGGCAGCTGAAAACTTTGTTCAAACGTTTAAAGATAAAGTTACGAAAATTATGAAAAGCGGAAGAAATCTCGAGGAAGCAATAGATATATTTTTGTTCGATTACAGAGCGACCGAACACTGCACGACCGGCAGAAGTCCCGCCTATCTCGCGTATAAGCACGAGCTTAGAACTAGATTTGATCTACTTCGACCTGACGTAGGCGAGACGGTCGACAAAAAACAGACTGCGCAAATAATTGGCAAAAGAGGAAAGCGAAAAGTAGACTTTAGAGTAGGTGTAGGATGGTGAGTGGTGGCTTGTTGCC